ATATATGTACAAATATGTATTACAACGAAAAATATACGCAAATTTTACAAGCTGATATCGCCCAAATTATTAAATCTTCTATACGGACTTTAGGCCAAACTGTCCAACATACTACTCACCACCTTATCCGCAACTAAATTCAATTGTTGCTGCTGTGCCTGCTGCTGCTGGTGCTGTTGCTGCTGTTGTTGCTGCTGCTGTTGTTGCATAGCCAAAAAAGTATTGGATATCATCGGCGTATTCCAACTGAGCGTTGTTGATGTAAGAGCAGAAGTTGTGGGCGATGGTGATGCACCGCTTGACGAAGAATTTTCACCATAATAATTAGACGCTGCATTATTTGCAGCAGCTGCTGCAGCAGATGATACAACAGCAACTGCGGCTTGATTTTGGAAATTCGTCAATTGTTTATCCAGCGTTGATGGGATTTGTATTTGACGTACGGGCGTATTGACCGCACTTGAAGCGTAATGTGCCGGTTTTGGTTGTGCGCTAGCAGCTGCTGCATGATGGTAGATTTGTTGAAATACCGGATTATATCCGCTGATAGGCGATGGTGACACAAAACTGCCGCTGCCAGCAGCTGCGGCATTGAAGCTTGCAGCTATGCCTGAATGTGCTGCTTGTAGAAACAAAGACTGTGCTGGCGCCAAGTGCGGGTGTTGAAAATCTTCTGCAGAACCAGTACTGGAGGCAGATGGCACAATGCGATTATAAGCATAAGACCAGGGACTTGAATTGGGATCCATATTGTTTAAGAAACGTTTATGTGGTATATATATAGATGACTACAAAGTAAATTCGTCAGATAAATTAATTTAATAGCACATAATAATAAAGAATTATGTTGTGGGGTAGCTTTTATAACTAAACAATATAAAATTTGCATACGGAAACATGATCCATGTATGTATAGCGCCAAAAAAAAAAGTCGACATTTGCTTCATCAGACAATTCAAACCAAGTTTTTACATCGCAAGCAAATAATAGTGATAATGTATCGTATAACCCCTGAAATATGTACTTGGTAAAACCTGCATTATAATGCTTTATCTAATATTTCAATGTCGATTGGATTTCAACGCTTCCCCACAACAATACAACAACCACACGCACTTGCTATGCTTCCGATTGGTGAAATGTACGCGCAGTACGAAAATTTCTAGTTTGGGGATTTTATTTGCTTGTCCCGTACTACTCCAACGCCCGTTCAGCATTCGAATCAATGGAGCACCTCAAATGTGTACTTTGTCTTGCGTTATGTATCTAGCTGGATTACGACTGTGGTAGCTGCACGGCAAAACGGCTCGACCGGTCGTTCTATGCGCCGTTGCCCAAAGCTGTCGCCTTGCGTGACTCGTCGCGTTCTCCTGCAACTCGTTGAGCTGCGTTTTGGTAAAAACTGAAAATTTTCACTGCTATTTGGTGTTTGCAGTTTAAACTCCAATTGACCGCTATTATATAAGTCCTTATGCACACTTTTCAACTATAATTTTCACAAAAATACCAAGTTCTTGTTGTTAATTTTCAATTTTTCGCGTCACCTATTCTGTCTACTCGTTGTTACACAGTCCGAGCGCCATTTTGAGAAAAACATTCCCACTCCGAATTCGGCCGAGGCTAGCTAGTCCGAAAGTGTGTATTTTCTGCCAGTCAAACCATGACGAAAAACGTCAAAATGTGAAAAAACGAACAGTATCATAGGGTTGCATTTTTTTTTTATTTCTGCTATGTGCAATAACAAAAATTAGGGCTCTTCACACCGAGCTTGGGCCTAAGTAGCTCGGTGCTCGGTAATACCATGTCCCCACCAAAAAGTTAACCATCTTAAATCGAACTTAACCACTTCACTAACTATTGCTGTCCAGACTGCGGTTTGAGGTTTATAAAACAGTAAAAATGTAAATAACAGTGGTCGGACGTCCAAAACTCGATTCAGGACTAAATCGCTGCAAAACTCGGAGCAAAAACAAATTTTCCGTACTAGATTGAATTTTTTATTTTCGTTTCTGACATTAATTGTTTGGCTTAAATATTTTCTATTCATGCAAAAATTAACGAGGCCATGTAAGGATATTATGTTACATATTTAGGTAATTTTTGGCATTTTCTATAAAGTAGAACGTATCTAACACTTAATTTTTTAAAGAGCAATAGGATCTAAACCTTCTCAACTTTATATAAATTTCATTCTACATATATTTTTTAACAACTGAAGTAAAGTTCTGCATCCGCCAATTTCTACAGCCATACATCAAAAATTACCGAAGTTACTTTATTGACACATTGCTATGAACGAGTCACTTTTTAAAGCTTAGTATCCAGCTCTTAAGAAAAGCAAAAACTCCATATAAAATGACGTACAAGAAATGGCTAAGAAATTTTCTTGAGTCAAATTTCCTTAAGGCAGTACGCAGCTCTTCAGTAATTTAGTACGCTTTCTACTACGGTTTTCAAAATTTTTTTGTGAAAAAAGAGCTCAAGGCAACCCAGGTTTGCAACAGAAATATATGCCCGCTCCATTATTTTTTGAGGAAAGAGTGAGGCAACAGGCTGTGAGGTATAAAAAATGTCAAAATTCCTTGGACACACACGCGAAATAATGGCAATTTTTTCTTGACCGTTTTCTTAAGAGCTGGATACTAAGCTTAACAGTGAGATTTGGCTAACTTTCACTGAAACTGGTGGTGAACGCAAAAAAACGGACCCAAGAGGGGCATAACATGACTGAAAAAAATGGAGTAGATTTGAAGTCAAGCGGAGTAGAGGAGTAGATTTCAAATTTTTTCAAAAAGAGTAAATCTAATCTGATTTTAGTGGAGTCCAAACACTAGTAAGGAACGAATTTTTTACATTTTAACGCTAATGACCCACAGATGGCGGGAAAACATATGGTTGTATCAAACTCTCGACGTGGTTTCGAGTTAGTTAGCTTTTAACCATCTCAGTGAAATGGTTAAGTGCTGTCATTTTTATATGGCGAAACTACGCTAAATCAAGTGGGTTATCGGGATAACCAACTCAACAGCCATAACTACGTGGTTAGCTCCGGTGGGGACATGGTATAAGGCCCTGTCGCTACAGGAAAACCCTGATGTCGTGATAACCATGATAAAAACATAGGTAGAACCCACAGTATACAGTAAACCAGCCATTGACAATATGCTTATTTGAAAATTAATGCATGAAATATTGTGCATGTATAGGATTCTTTTGTCATTAACCCATAGGCAATGACTGGTGCTCATTTTGTGATCAACTCTGTTTTTTTTCCTATTTAATTGAGAACATTTCAATTAACAGCACCGACAAATGAATATATACACAAACAAATTTTCGGTTATGGTTAAAACAATTAAAGTTTTTGTATTGAGTTTTTTGTTTAGAATTTCGTTTTCCCTTTTCAGTAGGGTTTATAATACAAGGTGGTATCAATTGTGACAGCTCGATCTGACACTGCCTTAGCTAAGCAGAATAAGAAGAAAAACGAAAAGAAATTGATCCCCATTTGGGGGAAAAATATATAATTTCATATTTTTTTCTAAACAAAATTGGCTTTTTTATAGTATATTCGTAATGAAATGAAATAATATAAGATAAAATACCTATTTAAGAAAACGAAATATGTATACTGAGAAAAAATAAACATTCAACTATATTATAAGGCAAAGAATTGTTAAAGAAGTAACACTGTTCACCTAAGGCAGCCAATATGGCGGAATTAGAGCGAGAAAGTGTCAACCGATAACACCTTGAATTATGGCATCATGGGTTTTTTGCACAGTATCTTTTATGTGCGAATTGATCGTGATGGATACCAAAGAACGTGAATCTATAAGAAGAGACAACACGTTATAAGTGTAGCGAGTTCGAACATCAGGAGCGTGCCTTCTCTTTTCATCCAATCAAAAAGTGTATTTCTGCAAAAGAGAAGGCGCGTGATTTAGTTATTTTCAAATATAAAATTAACTCAGCGTTTATACGGCAAAATTTACCATTTTCCAAAATGTTATTTGCAAATAATACGTGCGTATAAACGTAGTAATAGATGCACGTTCTTTCTAGCTACGGATCTGAATAAGTGACTGAAACGCGACTGTTTGTCAAAAGCATACGATTTCGATCTCACGTAAATACATTTGGTAAATGCGATAGCATGAACGCTCTTCGAAAATACATGATCGAAAGTGCTAAATGTTGAATTTTAAATGCAGCAAAAACGTTGCAATTTGAATAAAGAATGTGTATGTAAACTCGTTATAATCAAATGAATAGGCAGGTTCTAAAATTCTGGGTCTTCCTGTTAATGCAACATCAGCTGTTAATTGCAATAAGGCTGTCAAAATCCTATTGTTTTGCCGCGCTTTTTATTTCTTGACCAACAAATTGCCTTGGACGCCTTGCGAGTGTAATTTTTTTTAGATAAAGTTTGTGAACGTAATAGTTATTTTAAGGTAAGCCATATCTTAGTTTTTTGGTGACTTGGGTTGGGATCGTTATTTTGCCTTTAAAACCAATTCTTCAGCAAGGGACAAGGAATTTGTTGGGAGTGTGCCATTTTTCCCCATTTGCTATCCCGTTTCCTTATCGTCCGCCATTGCCACGCTTTGTTCGATTTCTACAGCTTTATCGGCAGGTGTTGTCCCGTTCGCACACTTTCGGAATAGAAATTTTTCATTGACAGTTCTTTGTTAAAGAAGAAGAACGAATTTTACAGTTTGATTGGGAAAAAATTACTGCAAGTTTATTTATTGTGTGTATTGTGCTGACTCAACTTTAAAAAAAGTATAAAAATCTGAAAAGAACGAAATTTTGAGGTAAATATCCCCTTATAAATTATTCCACGAGTGTCGCATTTGCGTTGAAATTGAAAGCAAGGCAGTCTCAAATCTGTCGACGTGTAAATAAAAAGCAATACGCCCCAATTCAAGTTCTCTTAATTTCGCAGTGATTGCTGCCAATATTCTTTGCACAATGGATTTCGGCGATGATTTTGCCCCCAAAGAGGAAGTTGATCCCGCAGCCGAGTTTCTGGCACGTGAACAATCTGTTCTCGGTGACCTCGAATCGGAAATCGTACCTCCATCAAATACTGCTCCCAGTGCACCGGCCAGCACAGATGGTGGCAATGGACTACTTGGCAGCGATGAACTAGCCCCTAATGCGGTTGGCGGCGGACTTGGTTCATCTACCGGTAGCTTTGAAATGATTGGTGGTGAATCAAATGAACCAGTCGGTATATCGGGACCACCACCTTCTCGGGTTGAACCTGAAAAAATAAGAAAATGGCGAGAGGAACAAAAACAACGTCTCGAAGAAAAAGATAGGGAAGAAGAACGTAAGAAAGAAGAGTTGCGTCTGCAGGCGAAGCAGGAATTGGAAGATTGGTTGCGTCAAACAGAAGAATCTATCGCTAAAACCAAAGCGGCCTCACGCAACGCTGAAAAGCAGGCAGCGGCGCTTGAAAATGGTGGACCCATGGAACCGGGAACCGAGTGGGAGCGCATTGCAAAATTATGCGATTTCAACCCAAAAGTGAACAAATCAGGCAAGGATATCTCACGCATGCGGTCTATATACCTACATTTGAAACAGAATCCCATTCCCCTGGGTAAGGCGGCCTAAACTTCACATATGAGCTTGGTAAAATATAAACCATGTATTAATACATGCACACAATCGTATTCGTATTATTCCAATAATGTATGTGCGCATATGTATGTATATTCGTTCTGAAATGAATTTTTTGTTCGCAAAATGATTTAGTGAATACGATAATTAGCGCTGTTTTCAATTATACCACATATTTCAAAAGTATTGATTATAACAATGGTTTATATGTATATGTACGTATACAAAAATATATGCATAGAATTTTAGCAAACTTGTAAATTAAAATGAATTGAATTTATTGAAGTTTACATTTACATTAAATATACAAAAACAAAAATAGTTTATGTGGTTATGAATTATCTAATTTTAATATTGAATTTATTTTATATACTTCCTGCGTACCAGAGTTGGAGTGCACTGTTTATGTTGTTGTTGTTGTAGCAGCAGTGCTCAACCCCCCAGATCTGTCATGTGTCATCGTCTTCATCCTCCGACTCTGTGAGCCTGAGGCCGAGAAAGCGGGCTGCGTCGATAGGTGCGGTCCAGAGCGCTTCTGGTGTCAGGGTCGTAGGGTTGGAGGTGCACGTGAAGAGGTGCTGGGTGTCGTGAGGACCTTGCCCACATGCAGGGCATGTGTTTGCCACTTGTGCGTTCAGCCGAGAGAGGTAGCTGTTGAGTCGGTGACACCACCCAGAACGGAGTTGTGCTAGGGTGCACCTGGTCTCTCTCGGCAGCTCTATTTCTTCTGGGTCTATGGGCGGCGGTCGACCGCCCAAAACGATGTTGTCATTACGCGTACTGAGGCTCGTTCTGACCGCATCGCTGTGTAGGCTGTTGAGCGCCGCTCTGTATGTTGCTGCGTCGAATGGATGGTCTACGTACGGCTCAATGTCCGCTTTCCAGTCATGCAGGTGTCGTCTCACGTGTTTATACTATTGACCAGTGATAGTGCAACATTACTTATGTTAATATTATTACCAATATCTTTTATTAACGTCCTTTTAAAACCTATAACCCATCTTTATAGGTAATACATATGTACATATCGTTACTTCCCTGCCAGCAAATGAAAGATAATTTTATTGCCTATCGCCACGATGTCGCTCCTTCGTCACTATTGGAAGTTATACTGTGAGAAGTTATCAAAGCGATAGCAATTATTTCACAAAGTCAAAAATTATTTCTGATGTTTTTCTATCTTCTTAACAGGTGCTCGGACGATTTTTACCCCTTGAAATTTTGAAAATTTCCAAAGCAAATCTTGGAAGTTCATTCGAGTAAAATTATACTTTTTACTTTATTTTTAATTAACGTGCAAGCAATGTGTATTTTATACACATAATGTTTTTATCATGCAAGCCATCATATTCGAATAACAAATAATATAATTACGCATGATACAAAAAAAAAGATCAAAGTGAAACTACCTTCTTTCATGGAATTACGTTTAATTTTAAAGAGATGCGTTATTTGATTTATTATGTTGATGCCTTTTTACTATGAAGTTTTGGAACTGTTTTTTAAAATGTTTAGTTGGAAATTCATAAAATATGGGAGCGCTTGAGCTTGTGATCTAAGCCGAGAGCAGGATGAAAATGGCTTCAGTAACTCTGCGGCTGTGGCTGCAAGTTCAAAGGTATCGCAAAAATACCATTGCGTTTTATCAAAAATTAAACCAACTGAAGAACTTTTAACACTTCAGACTTTATTGCACAAGTTACTATCGTTCCTATCGGAATAGTTTCTAATTGCTGTATCGCTTTCGTATCATAAGGACGTGACGTCTTGGTGGAACAGTTTTTCCTGAGAGCGGATAAGAATTTGATAAAATAGCGACATCGTCGGCGATGATTTTCGCAGAAATGTCGTGTCGAATTAGTAACTTCTGTAATAGAAAATGCTGGCAGGGTGTAATTCACAAAGGTCTTAACCAACACTTTTCGAAACTGCGTTTTTAGCAGATTTCGGTAGGATGTATTAAAAACACCTTCAATACACCTTCGAGGCACGGCGGCAATACTGCAGCACTGATCAAAATTTTGCAATACTGTTGCAACTTCCCAACTGATAAAACGTAGCTAGAAACTTACACCGAACGTGATACTTAAATAATTCGCGCAACACTGCGGCTGTGATTGCATCTCGACAAGCCCAAATTTTGAAGTGTTAGTACCAAAAACCATGGTAAAAATATGGGAAGGTAGAACCGCTGAAAGCATTTTTAACGTTTTCAAACATTTTAATTTTAAAATTTACTCACAAACTCAAACACACGTTCTCATTTCTCAAACAACAAACATTTTAACCAATTTCATATATTATCATCTTCAGTTTTATATGATTTTAAAGGCACCCTGAAATTGTGCATATGAACAAAGTGCACACGAAATAATGCATATGAAAAAAACCCAAATAATGCATATATGCAAAGTTTCGGTTGAAAACTGAAATAACGCATATGAAAAAACCGAAGTAATGCATACATGCACAGTTTCGACTCAAAAGATAAATAATGCATATGACAAAAAAACAAATAGTATTTTTTGATTGTTCTTCGTATTTTCTGTCTTTTTTTAGTGCCTTATTTTGCTTTTTTTGCAATACCTTTTTTTGCCTTTTCCTGCCTTTTTCGCTATTTTGTTTTGCCTTTTTTTGCCTTTTTTGCAACAGCTAGTGCCTTTTCCTGCCTTTTTCGCTATTTTATTTTGCCTTTTCCAGCCTATTTCGTTCCTTTATTTTGCCTTTTTTATAGGGTTTTAGGTCCTAAAAATCCGTTCCCTGCTCATCAGCATAAAAAAACCGCCTTTAGACAAATGATTAATAGAATTGAGCAAATACCACTAACAAAACCGAACTGAACGCAATATATGCCATAGCGGCTAATAACGGATACAAGAGAGATCTGGTAGAGGAATCCCGATGGGAGCACAAAAACAGAAAGCCAAACAATGAAAAAAACAATCACACAAATTGGGCGGTACTAACCTATACTGGAAAGTCAACGTTCAAACTAGCAAAGCTGTTCCAGAAACACAACCTTCGCGTATCATTCAGAACAAATAACAACGTAGGACGGATACTACGGAGCACCACAAATCAAGAAGACCCATTGGATAAACAAGGAGTGTATAAACTAACTTTCCGGAGTTGTCCTCGGTGATTGGAAATTTACTTTTATTAAGGTTATCCTTAAAAGTGGCAATGCAAATTGTATTGAGACTTATAGACCGCTTTCTAAGCTTACCACTGTCTCAAAAGGTAAAGACAAAATATACTTTACTGTTAACAGGGCTACCAGACGTTTAGAATTTAAAATCCGTACACAGACAAAAAGTGGTGGGTGAAAAATCCTTACGCTACCATTTGTTTGACGAGCAAAAAAAAATCCCTAAGCTTCGGTGAACACAGGGATCGTACTTTTAATAACATCAAATAAATCAACATATATTTCCACTAGTCCTATTTATTGATTGCTTTACATACAACCTTATTATTTTTCTGACTAGAACTTTTTAACAAGCTGTGTTTTTAGTTTATGTATGTACATGTATCTTTTCAGGTAAGTTGTCGACCCTACCGAGTAACAGTATGATCTTTAAAGATATGGTTAAAGTTAAAAAATAAACAAAATTTGGGGTTTTATAATTTTAAGTATGTGGCACAAACTCCCAACAATCGCAGTCTACCAAGAGATTGTTATACATAATTTTAATGGCCTATAAATCCTTTTCTCATGTTTGATTTTTAAAATCGGGTGAAAAATAGTCAAGCTGTTAATAGATAAGTCCCTCAAGTACGAAAATAACGCATTTTTTAATAAAAAAAATGGAGGTTCAGGAACTATAAAAACCTATGCGATATGTGTAAAACAGACAATTTTTACAATATGAAAAAAATACTACAAAAAACCGTACGTCTTAGCGGTAGCTTTCGTTGAATCCGTACAACCATTTTCACCCCTAAAAATCCGTACCGTACGAAAAAATCCGCACATCTGGCAGGGCTGACTGTTAAACATTTATTATGCTCTAACCAACATGGGTTCGTACCGGGTAGATCTACGTTAACCAAGTTGGACTGTTTGGTAACCTTTTAAAAGGGATTCCAAATTGACCCAATATACACCGATTTTTTGAAGGCTTTTGACAGGGTGTTTAATCGAATATTTATAGCTAAACTTAAGGTCTAGGCTTTCATTTTGAGTTTCTGAAGTCGATTACATCCTATCTGGATAATAGACGCTGTGTCTTTCGTTTTGATAATGTATAGTCTTATTCTTTTGTTTCCTCATCTGTAGCTCGTTTCTGTAACGATTCTCTACCAAGGCGAATTGAGATATGAATTCGCTGCCCTGTTCTCTAGTGCTAATGAGTAGTAGAGAATGACGTTTATTCTATACCAATCGGTAGAGAAGGGTTACTTGCTGTCTCCACAGGCAAAAGTTTTTATCTTGATAATGTTATCAGGCAAAATTTTGCCCATGGAGACCGCATATTGCTCTTGGCAAGCAATAATTATCAGAGCTTTTATCTTGATAAATATTGCCAGCAATCGTGGAGACAACATTATCGATATTTCAATATAAAAGCAAAAATTTAACTGTTTTCTTTTAAAATATGTTTTATTATTTGCTTGGATGTGAAATAGCATACTTTTTAAACTTTTTAATTGATTAAATCCGGCTAAAATTGCCATCTTATAAATGCTTTTATCAAGATAAAAAATGCCCACGCACAAATATTGCCGCTGATAAAATTTTTATCAGGCAATAAAAATGACAGTTGGTAGGCAAAAACTTTTGCCTGTGGAGACGGGCCGTTACAGAAACGAGCTACTGGTGCTCCCCAGGGTAGGGTCTTAGGCCTGCTATTATTTATCCTCTTTGTTAATGATATTTCCTCCTGTATTTCTATGTGTTAGCTTCCTTCTATACGCAGATAACCTGAAGATGTATTATGAAATTAAAAGCCTAGAAAACTTTGTATAGTTGATGTGCTCAATTCCACCACTCACATAAACTTTATTGTTTCTAAATCGTTCGCTATGTTGTGGCCTCTCAAACTGTTGTACTCGCGCTTTTAGTTCGGTCGAGGTTGGAAGACGCGTTATTCGTTTCATACAGTTTATGTGAATAGATTGGAGTCTGATCAGAGGCCTTTTGTACGCTTTGCTTAGCGCTCCATGAAATTTGTAGACCCTATGCCGTCCTATCGTTGTTTATTGATAAATCCCAAGGCCACCACCTGTTTAAAAATTGAATTCAATTCAAATTACACTAGGGAAAATCTGAAGTTTTGAAATGACGCAAAAAAAACCCTAGATTATGGTCCTTTATACTGTTTTTCCAGATCAGATAATTTTTCC